TAATTATTTTATAGTATTTTTGTTTTAGTTTAGGCTTTTCTTTAGTTTTTCTTGTTTAAAACATTTCTTAACTACTCTTATACATTAAGTCAAGTAATATATTTGTTTGACTTAATTGGCAATGACATATTTTAATTAAACTAAGCAAGCATATTACAATATAAAAGTTTTTATATTTAAACTATTTAATTATAATTTTTTTATACTAAATAAAGTAGGTTTTGGACTATCTTTTAATATATTTTTTATTACTTTTTTGTAAACATTTTACTGAGTAATGATTTTTTTTAAAAAAATCTATTTTTTTCAAAAAAAAAATTCTTTTTAGAAAAAAATCATTTTTGTCACTAATATACAACTTTAAAAGTTTATATTAATCAAATACATTGTCATGTATATGTTGAATATATATTTAAAATTTTAGCTTAATAGGATCAATAGTTGAAATATAAAATTTTAAAATTTAATACTATTTACTATGTAATACTCTGCCTTACTATTTGTTGTCCATGCCTACCTTCATTATAATTTCCCGCGCAATCATATCATGACCGAGAATCTTCCATAAGAAGATTCTCGATCACAAATAATCACGTGAAAATTATAATAAAGGTAGGCATGAACAACATAAGGCAGGGTATTATTCATTTATTTCCTGTAAGGAGTTTAAAATCACAACAGAAAATTCCTGATGATCATATAATGCAGACGGCCCTTCGGGCCATCTGTATCCTATGACCATCGGAAATCTCTGTAGTAATTTTTAAGCTCCCAGGAAATAAATAATACTAATACAAAAATTGTCCAAAATTTACTATAAAAATTTTATTAAATATAGTAAATTAATTTTTAACTTTAAAAATTTATATTTCAACAACTATTAATCCAATTAAGCTAAAATTTAAACTGTATATTTAGCATATATATGGCAATGCACTTGCATAATACAGACCTCTAAAAGTGCATATTGGTGGCAAAAATAATTTTTCTAAAAAGAATGCTTTTTTGAAAAAAGTAGATTTTTTTAAAAAAATTATTACTCAGTAAAATGTTTATAAAAGTATAATAAAAAGAACGAATCTAATTGTAGCACCATGTTACACACCTTATTTGTAACACCTAACTTAATACAGCCAATAAAAATAATTAAAAACTCATGTAACCCAAACCCTAAATCGAAATCTGATTGGCTTGTTACATATAACAGGTGTTACAAATACATTTTTTCTAATAAAAAATATATTAAAAGATAACCCAAAACCTACTTTATTTGGTATAAAAAAACTATAATTAAACAATTTAAATATAAAAACTTTTATATATAGAATATTTAAATTTTTAGTTGTCGTGTATCAACATTTTTGCACCAGACCATATCATAGTATAACTTTAGGAGTATGTCATCTTATATTAGGGATAGGTTAGGTTTTAAGTAGTCATATATAAACAAAATTGCCTTACCGACGTAGGTTTAGACTGCCGTTGTTTATATTTTTCAGGTTTTTCGTTTTTATTTCTTGTTTTGCTTCGTCGACGATCATCAAAAATCTATAATTTGATTGGGCAGTTATCACGTGATTATACTCCGCATTAGCGACACAAAAAATTTTAATTTGTAATTTTATAAACATTAGAAACTCATTGCCAAGAAATTGAGTTTAGAAGAAATTTTTTTTTTTTTGGTCCATTGTACCTTTTTGCTGTGAGGTCCCATTTGTAATATTCACAGTTTTAATTTTTTTCTATGCGGCATATACTTCGGTACAATAAACCTACTGGGGAATTATATAGTTGTGGCAATCATACGGCTCCGATTCACTTGACATACAAATAAATTATTGTAAGGTCGGGCTGTGTGGACTGTGCGCAGCACACGGGATTTCTGCGGTTTTTAGAATTTGTATGTCGTGTGCATAAGTACATGTTTTGGTATTGTATAGAAAGAATTCATTATTTAATACAGAAATGTAATTGCCCCCTTAGTTCTCATTGTAAAGTGTAACGACACCAGATCTATCTATGGGCATGCCCCAGGCACAACAAGAGGTGCACGCCCGAAAGGGCACGTCAAATATTTACTATGCCAAAATCCCATGGCCGCAGAATTTTGATTTTAAACCAATTGAAATCAATATCGATGTTCCATTAGTTTAACCATAAATTGTGTTCGCAACAGTTTAACTTACACGAAAAGCCTTAAAACCATATACTAATAATGACTGAGGAGAATCTGAGTCAACAGCTTGCTGAGCACCTGCAACTGAACGATTCTTCTACTTCAACTCGTGGTATTTCCAAGTATGTAGTAACTGCAAAAGAGTGTCATAAGGTGTTGGTGACTCGCGAACTTTTGTTATTTATATTTTGTGCTATGCCCGTACGTTTAGTTTTGAAAATGCGTTTAGTTTGTCGTCTTTGGGAAGCGATATTGCAAGGTATATCATATCGAATTAAAAATAGAATTATTTTATTCTGAGTGTTCTGCAAGTGCTGGTACGCATACTATTAAACATAGCGCCAGACACGGGCATGGGCACTATGTTTTAATATTGCGCGTACCGTACTTGCAAAATCCTATATTTATTGTAAATTTAATAAATCTATGACGATTTTTATTAATGTTATTATTTGTTTTTTAAGATGATCATACATGGAAACAAATCTATGAAACAAGGTTTGGTAAAGTTGAACATCCACTGTTTCTTGAAGATCAGACATATAAATCAATATGTATTTTCAAGGAATATCATGAGACACGTTTATGGTCAAATTCGAACATCACGACCATTAATGAATCCTCACAATCATTAACTCGATACAAACTTTTTGGTGAATTCGCATTATCGAATCAATATATGTATGATATTCTTGCCGTTGACGTGACCGAATGTGGTATCGCTGTTGCTTTGGTATCTCAGAAACGGTTAGTTCTTGACGAAACAGTCATTGGCGGCATTCGCGTGGTAGATGAACGACCCACGATCTCAAACGTTGATTTCACTTTGGTGCCAAATGTAGAGATCAAGGTAATTATTACTGATTGACAAAATTTTCGTACACCTACTTCTCCTATGGAACAATTAACAAAAAAAAAATTTTTTTTTTTTTTTTATGATTAGGTTTATGTGAAATTGATTCCATTCAGTAATAATAATGATAGATTTGATTATTATTCTTGTGATATACAACGAGTGACAGTTTCCCAGAATGATTTAGCTCTAGATGGCAACTGGGTTAAAAATATTGTTCGAGTTCAATTTGCATATAATCTTTTCATGTATTCTTCAGATATTTCTTTGGGAACATGTAAAATATTCTCGTATTATAAATCACTCGGCAATTTCAATATAAGGAATCCACCATTGAAGGAATTGGCAGCCTCATTCAATTTTCTGGTAGCTGGTACAGAGCCAGGGAATTTTCAATTGTCTACATGTGCAAGTGTCTACAAGCACATGGTTGAATCATTAGATCTTGATGAAAGGTATAGGTTTGATATTATAATACCGGATGTGGAGATCGAGTCTCAACGAGTTTACACTCCTACGGTAATTCAAGGGGCACTCAAGGGTAAAGTTACAGCGTTCCATATGGATCAGAATGATTTTATGATTGTGGGATATTTTAATAATGAAAAGGAAGCGACACTTCGTGCTTGGGATTTAAGAAAAATTCGAAATCTTGAAAGCTTTGAATCACAAGAATTCCGAAAAGATATTGTACAATACGTTGCAAAACTACCGGCTAAGGCACAAAGCTTTTCCGTGCGATGGAGAAATTCAAGTGGCGAAATTCAAACGCTTCTAATAACAGAACGAGAAAAACAATTGCAAGTATCACCAGAAATTATAATAGCATGTAGTGGAGGACGTGTTCTTATATTTGTTCCCGATACTACAACACCTAAATCAGATGGTGATAAGGAGTCCATACAAAAATTAAATATGATATGGGAAGTGAACACGGGATTGATATCATGTCGGCTTATTGATGTACAGAATTGGTTACCATGTAATTATCCATCCAATGGAGATTGGATTTTTATTTCAGCCAAACAAACCAAGGGAGACATGAAGGTTCCAATAGTTGTTCAATTCTGCCTTACAAAAACCTCGAATACAGGATCGTGTTATGGTTATCTTGAAATCGATGGGAATAATCCAAATAAAGAAGAAGGAATAAAACGACCAAGTTTATATATGCGACTTGTACATAGAATGTTTACACAGAAAATACCGCATTCTGCAACTATAGTTCAAGCCATGCCGTATCTTCCACATTATTTTTTAATTATATATCAAAGACGAGAATCAGATATTATTAAACCTCGGCCACGCTTTGGTTTATTCATTTACGATTATCACAATTCAAATCTCGTCAACATAAATATTCAATCATCACCTTTATTTTTTATGGTGCCATCCGGATATATTGCGATGGCAACAGATGGATTTAAAGATGATATTGTATATATCCCGTTTCCAAATCTTAAATCTCGTGGCCGATTAAATAGGGTCAATTCTGCAAATTCTAAACAAAGTCGACCAAAGTTACAACCTGATGGAGCTAATAGAATAAAAGTGAACCGTGGGCCTGGCGGAAAACGCACAAAACAACCTAAGGGTACAAAAATTGACAAAAGGAAACACAGTAGTAAAATTCAATATTCCGTAAGAAATTACGATGTAGATTATGATGATGATGACGATTACGATGATTATGATGATTATGATGAATATGATGAATATGATGAATGTTGAATTAACTTTATCTTGTTTGACAAAAAAAAAAAGGGTATTATTTAGTTAAACTAATCAACTTGTGTGAATAAAATTCATTTGTACTTATTTAGATGTACGTATAATACTTTGAAGGTTTGTGTAAATGACTAATTTTGATACTTATTTAATGATTTGATTAAATCTCATGTATTTAAGTGTTACAACTATTTTGACAAATTATTTGCATGAAATAAAAATCATTTTACAATATTAAAGAATTCTAAATCTTCTTCTGAACTAATGATCTGTTTTATTGAGTAAAAAAAAAAAAAAATAAATAAATATTAAATTCTTGTAAAATAAAGCATTGAAAGAAAAAAAAAGGAAATACCTTTGCGTATAAGTTGATATCAAATTTGAAAGGCTTATTTCCAAAATTTGCATCCACCCAAGCATTCTTACTTCTCATTCCTACAGCTGGATATAATTTTTCACAATTGGAGAATGAACATGCGTATCCTAGTTTTTTATAAAATTAAATACAAATCTCGTTTCGTAAAAAAAAAAAAAAAAAAGGAAAAAAAACCATTAATCCATTAATGAAACAAGAATACCTAAATTGACTCCATTTTTAGTAAAAAAAATTGTCCTGGAAAAAAAATTTATGCCACAACCGATCGTGTCTCCCGTAGTATAGGTTGGTCCGTATTCGTATCCAAATCCCTGTTCGAGAAATTTCAGACCATCATCACCGTGATAGCCTCTCGAACCCGGATCCCATCCTAGTATTTAAACGATTTGTAATTATTAAAATGTTTTTTTTTATAAACATTTTTTTTTTAGTACAAACCTACGTGTCTTCTAAGACTAAGATATGGTGTCGCAACACCAATCGATATTAAACTATACATGTATTTTTATGAAGAATTGAAAATTTAATTTTATATTAATACGCGTAGGATAAAAATTTTTGAAACGTACTCGCGCCTTCCATCATCTGTAACTCCACCTTCTATAACATCAACTTCAAAATAATAAACTCCAGTTTCTTCTGGAATATAATCATTTGCTCTAACCGCTGCAGCCTTCCTGTTCCCTTTTTGTCGATGAAAAGAAAAATTTTTAGTTTCTAATTAATATATATATATTTATTTCAATTTTTCTTGAGCGATTACCCTTATATCTAACCGAACATAGATTATCATCAATTTTCAGATCTGAAGAACAATCATTTACATTCCAACAAGTAGGTATTGGAATCGGATCTCTTAATTTTCTATTATATCTATCTAGTAAAGAATCTTTTAAATAATCGGGAAGCAATGGTTCTAATTCATTTTTTTCCCCTTTACTACTTGAATTGCCGACGATCACTGAAGGCGTTTGCACTATTTTGTTTTAAAGGTAAAAAAAGCCGAATTGTGGAATTTTAACAGCAATTTTTTTTTTAAAAAATTACATGGTTTTGAAAAAGTACATACTAACGCTAATATTTTGTTAAAATGAAAATGTGCCTGGTCGAAATTTTAAAATGCTGATTATAAATCCATACAAAAGATCCAAAATTTAACCGCCCTAAGTTATCAAGCTAAAAAATTTCGTTATTAGATCAGAATTAGATTTTTTTTATTGATTACTTGGAAAGTGTACTGTATTGATATTTTTTGTTGGAGAGAGTGAATTTCGTTTCTTGTGTTACACCTGACCTTATTTTAGAAGTAGGCTTATATGTCACCAGCTACGGTCAATTCAAAACCTATTGCACTAAGTTAGGGTTGTAATTGTTTATCGTTATGTAATTTTGTGTTAATCATGACGGTTTGTGGCGTAGCTGCGTGCACACGCACGTACGTACGTACGTGCGTACTAACACAATTAGTGATGCAATGGCTTGAGCCAGTCGATTAACTTTGCTGCAAGTTTACTAAACAGTATTAGTTTTAGAAGTGGCTCAGCTCATGGCCATGGAGCCGGTCATAAATTTTATCATGCGACATCGGCGCCAATAGTAAGTTCATGACCAAAACGTACGTACGTATTTACATATCATAGATCGAGAACTAGAATCCGTTTCTCGAAAATCTTCGACGAAATTTAATTTATTGCAAGGCATTATTAGACAGGCCTACCGAATAATTGATTGCAATTAAATTTTATCATATCTGATATGCCTCATTTACGTACGTACGTACGTACGTATGTTATTTTTTTAAACTATATACTTACGTATGTTATGTATGTTATGCCTTTTATTACATATGTCGTACATCGGAACGGAATTATTGTAGATTTAGAACCCACGTAGTCCAAGTCCAAATCGATACTTCTAAATTTGATACTGTAT